TTTTAATTGTTGTTGTAATTATGCTGTTTTATGTTATTGTATTTTATCTCTGTTGTTGGCCGCCTAGAGTAGTCCACCACGACTAAATAGGCGGGATATAAATTAAATAAATAATAATAATAAATAATACTATCCTGATGATCTGACAGAACAGCTGTACTATGATGACATAGACATCCAGATATAGATTCTCTCAACCTGATAGCATGGAGAATACTCCCGCCATAAAAGACATCCTTGATCGAGCTTGAAAACCTTTGACCCAACTTTTATATAAAAATAAATGGAAAGTTTTCCTATCCTTACCAACTCCCATAACTTGCTTGCAATACCTGTTTCTCTGAAGACTTTACTTACCTTTGTCCTTCATCTTTTTCATCTCGGACTATCTCATTCAACCTTGAAAGTTTATATCTCTGCTATTGTAGCACACCAGCTGCCTCATTCCGATTCTACTAAGCTTTTCTCCCACCCCACTTTGAAAAAATTCCTCAAGGGACTCCTCAACATCTGTCCACCACATCAACACCCTCTTCCATTGTGGTCTTTACAACTTCCCCAATGCACTTGACCGCCTTTTGAACCTATGGCCACTTCCAGTTTTAAACGACTTTTTCTAAAGACATCATTCCTTGTGACGATAACATCTGCTAAATGTCCTAGCAAACTTGCTTCCCTCAGACCAGACCCACCATTTCTCCAATTCCACCTGGATAAGGTCACTCTCTACCTTGAGGTATTGTTTTACCTAAAGTTGTCTCTGCTATTGCCTACCTTATTCCCTTCTCCCTCTGCACCACTTAAGTGCATGTTCCACATGCTTGACATGAGACGCTCTCTCGCCTTCTACATTGACAGAACTAAATCATTTAGAAAAACACCATGACTTTTTCTCTGTTTTCACGGCCCTCATAAAGGTGCCCCAGCTTCACCTCAAACTATTTCTCGATGGATTACTCAAACAATCTCTCTTGCATATGAACTGACAGGCAAAACACCACCTGAACATTTGAAGGCCCATTTTACCAGAGTGATGTCGACCTCTAGTGCACTTCGTCATGGGACTGAGCTTCCTCACATCTGCCGTGCAGCGACATGGTCCACTCCATTGACCTTCATGAGACACTACCAGCTTGATGTCTGAGCAAAGAGTGATGCTGCCTTTGGCAGAGCTGTTTTGACCTCCTTCCTACCGTGATGTTCCACCATCTGGTAAATGAGCTTGTCAGTCACCCAATTGTGTGCATTCACAGAGGCCATGAAGAAGAAAGAGAGGTTACCTACCTGTACCCATGGTTCTTCTAGTGGTCTTCTGTGAATCCATACATTCCGCTCATCCTCCCCTCTGTCCGTCACATTGTCTTTTTTTAAATACAGTTCTTGACAGCGGCGGACTCTTACAGGAACTGAGGGGACTTCTGGTGGGTGGCGCATGCGCTTCTTGGGGGAACATCCTACTAATCACATGTTTTTGGGTGGAGCATGCGCTTCTTGAGGGAACATCCTTCTAATCACATGTTTTTAAGCTCTAGAAACTTCTGAGAGGTCCTGCGCAGGTGCAGAACAACCCAATTGTGTGTATTCATAGAGGACCACTAGAAGAACCATGGTTACAGACAGGTAACCTCTAGGTAACCAAGAAATTCATTCAGAATAAAACCTAGCCTTCAGTACAGAAGTCTCTAGAAGCTTCTAGCTGGCTTATATGTGTGTGAGTGCATCAAAAACCAACATGGAGGCACCTGGCACCTTCATGGCTAGCCCTCCAGGGCAGATGAGAAGGGGGGAAAGAGCAAAACCATTTCCTGGATGAAAATTGGGAAGTGGCTTAAGGAGGAAGTCATCAAGGGGGTAGTTATTTGTAAAAGTCAAGAGGAACAAGGTCCCCAAGCCTACCTGGTGAATATCAGTCTGTTCCCCCCCCCCAGGTAACTCTAAGTGCAACATCACTCCACTTATTCCAACATTCTGGGAATGAAACGCCTCTTTCCATCTATTAAGTTAGGGAGAAGGGGAAATGGCAGGCCAAGCCTGAGGCTTAGGTACGGTCAATCCACCAGGCAGTGTTGCTCTCTCCAGGCTATGCACAGGATACCTCTTGGCACAGGATACCATTACAGTCATTGTGCTGTTGGATTTTAGTGCCCATAGTTTTATGGTCAGAGACTTTTGACCTTTTTGTCCTTGGCTCCTGGCAGGTGAACACCACTTTGGACACTGAAGTTATGGGCAGCCTTTACTTCCAATGCAAAGCTGCTATTCTGGTGACTGACAGTGGAAGTCCTCCACGAACCAGTGAGTAATAGCACTGCACGGTCAAGCTAGCATTATTTGGGTTTCAGCTTTGCTCGACACGCAACACAAGACACCATGGGCTCTCAGCAGAGTCTTTGAAGGGTCATCTTGCCGGGAGTGGTGGACAGGAACAGAAGGATTCAGAGAGTAGAGATGTCACCCCCACACACACACACACGCTGGGAGAGCTGAGGCTGCACAGTAGGATATCAAGCTCATTGGCAAGGGTAAACCTAGCCTGTTTGAATCTGTTGAATTAATTGAATTAATTGAATTAAAAATAGTTCTGGGAATGTAACTCCATGGCAAACAAATTCTGAGATTCAGAACTAAATTATAAGCAAAGCTGAATATATTCAAGTAAACCACCCAGAGTAGTGTTGCACTAATGTGTAGTATATAGATCAAACAAGTAAGTATGTACATAAGTAGTAAATATGTTAGTTACTAAGTAAGTAATTAAATAAATATTCTTTTAATATTAACCTTCTGTATCAAGATAGTTGAAATTCCAGGCTGTACATTTGTAGAAATTATTTATCTTGTTATTTCTTTCACTGATTAAAGGGATTGTCCTTGATATGCAATAGATATATTATATTAGCACACTATTTTAAATAATATGTTTTCTATATGTTTTATAAGAAGCTGGGTTTTGATCTTATAGCAGAAGCAGATATTGTTTTTTGAAATGTGTTACTTATTTACCTATTGATTTTGCCTCCCCTCATTCTTGGCGGTGGCTTCCTTTTGGCTTTTGTCAATCCGTATTCTGTCCCTAGGGTGCTTACAGACAGATGGCTCCTTATGCTACCAGTCAAAAAACATTGGGCAGTTATCCTGATTTTTCTCTCCTTAAGGATTTTGCATGTGCACGTGCATGTGTTTAAGTGAAGAAAGAAAAGCAGCAGCTGTCAAGCAAAGTCAGGTGCCCACAAGAGGAGGGTGACATTTTCTGAACCCCTACCCTGTCCCCAATTCCATGAATGAAATAGTATGGTTGCATCATGGAAGCCTCTTGCAGAAACATCCCTCAGAAATCCAAATACTTTTAGCTCTCTGTATAAGGAACACTCCACCAACCATTGGAAATCCTCCTGAGGCTCTGCTTTGGCTTCAGAAAGTATTGCCACACATTTTCAAGCCTATCTTTGTAATCTAAAGCATTAGAAGCTTTCTTAACAAATTGTACACTTGTTCAGTACAGGAATGGAACCATAGAGCATACACAGCTTTGATTGTATCTGTCTCTTTCTCTCCCCACTAGAATAGAACTTTGCTACCTGTAGGGCGTGCTCTGGTCCATGGGGTCACGAAGAGTCGAACACAACTAAATGACTAAACAACAACAACAGCAACAACAACCTGTAGGGCAGAACCACCTTTCTTAGGAACGGCTTGGTTTACAACCAGTCCGTTCCCTTCGGGGATATTTGGACAGGGTAGGAATACATTTGTACTGAACTGCAATCCACATTCCACCCAAATGAACAAATTGTGGTGGGTGTTGATTTGCCATCTCCCTGCAGAAAGAATAGCAAATAGTGACAGAGCAACCAGTCCTTTATTTATCACATGACTCCAGGGTTTCATTTCAAAAGAGTTCCCTTGTGGAAAACATTGTGTCTGGAGAGGCCTCCAGGGTGAACATTTTATCTGAGTAACTGCACTGGCTAATGAACAGTCAACAGAGGAGCTGAGGGCAAACAGACCAGGCAAGAGCATAACACAGAGCCTCAATTATAGAGAGCACTGATGGGGCACATGTGGCCTTTCTGAATCTACTAGAGAGTTACATCCTTGCTGTAGAGATGTTTACATCATCTTCACCATCATCATCAAAAAACAAAGGCTATAATCCAATCAAAATTAAGTACTTTTAATTGATTTCAGTGAGAGTGATTTAAGCACATTCCTAATTCTCTCCGTTGAAATGAGTAGGGCAGTTCTGATATACTTAACTTTGTTTAGATTTTGGCCTAGTGAGGCAACAGCGTTCAACTTGTCCATAAGCCAGTCTTCCCCAATCTACAGCCCCTCAGATATGTTGGAATACAATTCCTATCACTTTCAGCTGAATGACCATGCTAGAACATGATGGGCCTTGGAATCTGATTCATACAGAGAGAGCACCATTTGGGGAAGGCTAGTGTAATACAAAAGCCCATGTTTAGCAGTAAGGAAATTGTGGAATGTTAACGAATCCTTGTACTCATAGCTATGTTCTTATTGGTAGCATTGAGGACCATGCTTTCATTGGTAGCATGGAGAAGAAAATAAAATAGTTTGGATTATTTTACACAGAAGAACCATTTGCCAAAATATCGATAGTTGTTGTCAAGGGGCATTTAAGGGCTGTTTGGTTAATCAAATGCAGCAGTAAAAAAAAGCAACTGTTGGTCAAGGCTGATTAGACTTTAGAGCAAGTTGGTATATAAATGAAGACCCTTACTAAGCAAATGTGCCATGGACAAGCAACAACTGCACGTGAACTATGGCAAAGAAATAAACAGGAGATCAAACAGAAAGTCCAATACAGACCACCCTCAAAGGGACACATACTTTGCATGGCAAATAAGAACTTATTTGAGAGGGAAAGCAATCAAATGCCCAATAAAACTGAAAGAATATAAACACAGAAACATGGAAATTGCCATAGAAGATTTGTGCCTAGTCTGTTTACAATGTAAGTGTAGTGAAGTGCATTCAAACAAATATATAAAGAGATATATAAAATAAAAACAAAAATCATCTTAAAGACTGTTGCATTTCAATGTGAGCTTTAACGAATACATCCGCTTCTGCAGACAGTAAAATATAATGCCCCTGGCTAAATCTCTCTCATTTTTACAATAGTATAACGCAGCTGGTATAGATCTCATTGGTAAATTAAGAAGTTAGGCATATGCTGAGTTGCTTTAGATTGGGTCATTTTGAGTTCTGCTGCACCCGAATCAAGCACATCCCACATGTGTGTATATGCAGTCTATACCTAATACTCTTTACCTGTTTGTGTCATCATGGTCTGCGTCAGTCCCATATCAGGCAGTATTTAGGGGGTAGAATTTATGTGCAAACTTGTATAAGGAGTTTTGTCCTCCCCCCCTCAAAAAATGTTGTCTCCTTGGAGTCTCGCAGTCACTTTTCCTTTAGCTGAGAGCTATAAATGTAATTAATAAATGAACTGACAAGCAAACCTAGAAAGAGATGCTACAGGAAGGTAAATGGTATGAATGCTGATCTCCCCTCATAGACCACTTTTGCTCCAAAAAGCAGGCTGCTCCCCCCACTTTATATGTCATTGAGTCTGGCCTGGGCTTAAGGCTTCACATCTCCAGCCATCAGGCACAACATGAACCTGGCCTCATGTTTGTGCTAAAGTAGATTGGCTGTTCACATGCTAGCCAACATCTGGCCGATGCTGTGCTGAAAACACTGCCCACCTCATCTTTTTGGACGTGATTCTCTGTTCTTTACAGCCAGGGTTCCTGTGCTGGTGACTGTAACCCCAGTGAATGAGTACTTTCCGCAGTGCTTACAGAGGTCCTTTAGTGTACCAGAAAATGCTGACTTCGGCGACCTCTTTGGCAATGCCAGTGGTGTGGACCAAGACTATCCTTTCAACAGCATCGAGTACAACATCCTGGAGACAGAAGCTGGACCACCTACTCTTTTCTACATCGGCCGTCGCACAGGTGAGAAAGGGTATTGGTGCAGGACCTCCCCAGGCAAACAATGTGATCTCCTCGTAACTCCACCTGCAAGCTTTATTTATCTCAACTTGTCACTAAGATACTCTCTTGCCTCACCCTGGCCTTTGTCCCTTCTTGGCTCAAGAGGAGGCACCTCACACATCCAGGCTTGTATTGTACCCCCCCCACGCCTTCCTCTGAAGGATTCTGCTTTGGCGCCTCAACTCAAGGTTTCATAAAGCATTACTTTTAACTCTTTTGGGTAACCGTGTGAGGATGACTTATTTTATTGATGTTAATTATGTACCTTTATATTATACAGTGAGGTCTTGACTTGAGAACTTAATCCGTATTGGAAGGCGGTTCTCAAGTCAACAAGTTCTCAGGTCAAATCTGCATATCCCATAGGAATGCATTGAAAACCATTTGATCCGTATCTGCTCTTTTCCGTCCATAGAAACTAATGGGAAGCTGCTATTCTGCCTACAACCACTAGAGGGGGATATTTTGTTTCTTTTTTTCTTAGGTCAAGAAAGGTTCAGGGAAGGCAGAGAAAATACAGTCCAGGCAGTACCAGGCAGTCTGAAGACTCCCAATCCACTCTCTAAACGCTGGGAGGAGTGAGGAAGCAGACAGGCACCCTTTTCACTGCCCAACAGTTAACTGAAAGTTCAAATTTTGCACTTTCCCTGCCTCCCACGTGGGTTTTTTTTTAGTTCTTAACTCAAATCTAAGTATGTAAGTCAAGTCAATATTTTCCTATGAGAGTGGTTCTTAAGTCAAAATGTTCTTAACTCAAGGCGTTCTTAAGTCAAGACCCCACTGTATTTAATTTTCTCCCATTGCAATGTCCAAGGTTTTGCTTAGCATGATTGAAAATATGTGCAGCGGGAAAAAAAAGAATCGTAATATTTTTAAAAGGAAGTTATTATATTAAAAAAACAAATTTAAAATCCTGGAAAAGGAAAAGGAAATGCACAACACTCACCACAATAGCTAGTAAATGATTGAAGATCTGTTTAAGAGAAAATATATTTGTCTGTAGCTGGAAGGAGAACAAAGCAGGGGCCAGTTTCCCTCGGAAGGGAGTTCCACAGTCCCTTTTGCATTCATTGGCAGGACTGAGATATAAGGCTTGGGATGGTGATAGGGAGAGACACACTTGCCTCTTATGTTTCCACAGAATGTGCTATGTTACTCTCTCAATTTTGCCATCTTGGCAAAATTAAAGGGGGAAAAGAAAAGAAAAGAAAAGAAGAGGGAAGAAAGGCAAAACATCACAGCACATTAAGGACTAAGATATTTTATCTGAATGTGAGCTTTCGTGGATTAAGATCCACTTTTTCAGACACAAAGTGTATGAATACAATGTCCTCTATATTTAGACATGTCTCCGGGGACCTTCACTACTATAGGTTTTATAGCGCATAAAATGGACTGCTTGCAGTGAAACTGTCATAATAAGGAGTTTCTGAGCTTCCCTATAGCCAACTCTGGTCAATACGATCACTCATCACATTACATTTTATCTTACCATATTTACATCACAGGTATTAAAGAATAGAAGCAGGGCACTTAGTACTGTATTGGAAGTTGTAAATAATAACCTGGTATCACAAAGTGAAAGGGAACCCAGATAAGACTAAATCCTTCTTTGGAGCCCTCCAGATAGATTAATGGGCTTTATCCCTAAAATGTATGGAGCTATCCTTCTTCTTTGGAATTTATAACCTGGGGATATATCTGTGAAGATTCTCAGTCATCCAGGGGTGGTTATCTGGAAGCTGAGTCATGACAACTCGACTTCTTTCTTGTTAGGTTGAAACATTTCCCTACTTTTTCAGTCTGAGGAGAGTTAGCAGGAGATCCCTGATAGATAGTCACCTGGAGATATTCCTAGACCCAGCCATGAGAACATCAAATATTGGCCATGGCTAGATTAGTCTTTAACCAACTTAGGATCATTTATGCCCCTAACTGGATGAAAGGTCCTGGAAGATAGTGGTGCATGAGCTGATTATCTCAGAAATTGACTACTGTAACACTCTTTATGTGGGGCTGTCCAAAGTTGACTTGGAAACTACAACACATGCAATATGCAGCAGCTAGACTGGTTGATCACATCTCCCCAGTACAAGCTGAGAGAGAGAGGCAAAGAAAATCTTGACAAGTAATCCGGCCTTCTTGGTTGTAGTACCTTCTGTGTGGAATGGGAGCTTCCCTAAACCCCCTCTCTCCCAACTTACAAGAGGATGCTAAGGACCTTACTTTTCAAATAAGCTTTCAAGGACATTCTCCACTGAGTTTTTTTTATGTAACTAGTTGCCTAGTTCCCCGACTTTTTAAGCTTTAAGTTTTTAGATTAGAACAATTTTGATCATTTGTTGATTTCTAATAGATTTGTATAATGTGTTCTTTGTAGTACTGGGTTATTGGAGTGCATTTCTTTTTATTGTCAACTGGCCAGAGTATTGCTTGTTACTAAGCTGGGCAGTATACAAGTATAATAAACAAACAACAGACAGACAAACAAACAAACAAATATTAAGGCAAAGTACTGTACAAAGGCATGGTCTTGTGTCTGTATTACAGGACTGCTGTATGTATTGGGGCCTCTGGACTATGAACTGAAGAAGTCATACCGTTTGACAATCAGCTTAAAGGACCTGGATAATGACGCAAATCCTGGAAAGCAGACCACATGTAATATCACCATTAATGTGCAGGTAACTGCAAGGAGGGATGTTTAACAAGTCTGATGCTTGTCTCTTGAATGCCACTAATGCACAAAAACACAGTCCCACAATGTGTGGGACTGCAGCTTCCACCAACACCAACCCCCCCCCCCAAACACAGTGGCTATGGTGTCCTAGGGTAATGGCCATTATAGTTCAGGACCTATGGAGGGCACAACTGAAGGAAAGCTGCAACAGGGCTATTATGCAAGTGTATGAATATGGTACATTGGTTTAAATAATGTAGAAGATCTTTAATCCAAACTATATTCTGGGGAGAGCTTTCCCCATTTTCCCCATAAGTTACCTATGAAGTGTTACATGCACAGCAGAGCATGCAGATAAGTGTGTCATCTCTTATACACTTCTTTTTTGTTCCTCTGCGAACCACAGAATTACTTCTTACTTCCAGTTTATTAATATTCCATGATCTCCTCTGAGTAAAAAGCTTTCCTTTCTCTTCTATCTTGTTGTAAGCTTGCCATCTTCGGTGTCTGACAGCAACTCTGTTTCCCTAAAACAGAAAAGCCACAGGAGCAAAAATTCTGTTCCTGTTACATACCATCAAGTTGTTCAACTTTATGGCAATCATTTTATATAGGGTATGGTAACATGCTCTGAATTGAGGAGTGTCCTCTCCAGAGCATTTAAGCCTGGGCAAAGTAATATGGAGGATAAGCTGTTACCCAAGCAGCAGATCCCCCCTCTCCACATTGCTGAAATGGTCCAATGAAAAGGCAAGAGCCAATACAACTGGTTCCAGCAACGTCGCAGGAGTTGGCAGAATGACATGAGCTGCCTTCGGGACTCCAGCTCCGGATTTTGCCTCGAGGATAACTCCTGAAGCCTTTTCCATGAGTGGATATAGCCACAAGGCAGTGGAGGTTTGAAATCGGAGTTTCCCTTCTCCTAGGTGGGCTGCTTTCCATGGCTGATGAGCCCCACCTACCCAGCCTGCTCTTTAATAGTGCGAAAGTATGATCAGACCCTTTTAACTTTCCTGAGTCCCAGGCTTATGCAAATCTCATTGGCTTTCCTATTTACCATATTAAGGCCAGACATAGAATTTGAGAATTTTGCGCACCGTTAGGAAAAAGGGTCCCAGGGTCCTGGGACACGCTCTTTTAAAGCAGAGAGTCCCACCCCCTAGGCCCCACCCCCAGGCCATGTGGTGAGGAGACAAAAAGAAAGCCCAGAAAAAAAAACCCTCAGAAAACATCCCTGCCTTTCCCTCACACCCAGCT